GGCCTTCATAGGTGCTTGCTAACAGCACTTGCCCCAACAGTCTGTTAAGGCTATACGGGGGACCTTTGTCTTTGTGGTGGTGACAGGAGTGTAGCAGTGAACGGTGGCGCAGTGGTTAGCCCACTCAGTTTCCGAATAACTCAGGCGAACTGAGTTTGCTATTCCCGGCCGCGGCTTCCATCATTTGATATCTGAACCGGTCCTGAGCCTTTCCCTGCTGGGTGAAGGCCTCCCCCAAGCCGTCACCATCGCTCACAAATCCTGCCACGTAACAAAGACAAATATCCCCCGTATAGCCTTTAGCAGACTGTGGGAGGCAAGTGCTGTTAGCGATTAGCAACCTATGAAGGTCCGGTAACGGCACACGAGGAAGTGGGTGGGCAAAGCCAAGGCCGCCTTTGTCTCCCCAGGGGCGATGTGTAACGATCACGAACCCTGATCTCATCGCTCCCACTCGGCGGCGATCGTCCGAGTTTCCCTCCTTTGACTGCCGCTCCGTTGCCAGTCTCGGCCGCTTCTCTCCATCACGTGTGCTGCCCAAGCCCATTTGCCTTTCTTAATGCAACATGTGGTATATGTTTAGGTGTGCATATGTTTAAGGTTTTCTGTAATGTTATATAACGGCAAAAACCCATAACATTATCACAAAGAGTGTGTCAGTCGCGAAGTTCCTTAAATCCTCAAAGCCAATGGACGCAACTTCACGTGTCAACCTACTTGCTACGCTGCCTACTACCAACTACAGGCACCCTGCTTAGCGCGCTTGTCAATGACATACTCCGCGATGCCAACCCTGTCCCCACGAGTGCACCGCACCAGCACGACCCGCGCGTTCATGACAACGTGGACTGTCGTGGGCATGTCTTGGTGAAACGAGGAGCCGGTGCGAGGCAGTACAGCAAGTAGGTTGCTGGCAACACATCCATAACGGCGAGTCTCCGGTCACTCCGGTTTATTCCCACGAGTAAAATGTTTTTTTTCTTACATCAAATAAAATCAACGAGGCAATTGGTCAAACATCCAAACCGAGATCTTCTCGAACTGACCAGCGTGGTGAAGTATGGTCAAATATGCCAGACGACCGTAGACGCGGAAGGGTCACCATCGAGCAGTGGATTGACAAAAGAGCTGTGCACGCGAGTCCAGTGACAGCAGACGGCTCCGTTGCGAAGTAAAACCCGACGCGTAAAGAAATGCAGAAACAGACTTCCACCCAGATGCGTGGAATGAGGTCGACTTGCAGAGAGACGCCCGCGAGACGAACATTGCTGACATTTAGTGAGACCTGTTAGCAAAGAGTCCGCTAACCTGCACCGACCAGCGCGGTGAAGTATGGTCAAACCACAGTGAGCGGCACGGCGCACAGAGGTCCTCGTCCAGCAGTGGATCAACACGAGGGCGGCGCGTGAAGGCATCCGCTGAGAGAATCCAAGGTTTACACAAATCAAGATAGAAGAGAACGTTTAAAACTACAGAGTATAATGATGATGATGATAATAACAATATTGCACAGAGACGGATGGGTGGCGCAGTGGTTAGCGCACTGCGAGTGGAGTCTGAGCCGGTCCTTAACCCCCCCCCTCACTCCTCCCTTTCAACCAACCCGCAGTGACTAGCGTGGTGAAGTATGGTCACAACAACCCCCGCGACCGACGCGACGCGACGAGGCCCTCGTGCAGCAGTGGCTTTACAAAGGAGCTGTAAGTAATAATTACGAGTAATAATACATTACATATTGGCAATAATAACAATAACGCACATCGCTTTGTTATTGCTATATACTTATATATCGTGTGTATCATACCATATGTAGATGACAAGTTCGATGTTTGCTCGTGTGTGTATACGCTGACCAACGTTATCATGTAACTAAACATCATAATAAAATAGCGTCGCTGCATGTACCGAATGTTGCGAACAAATAAGAGGCGCAGACAACACTTCCATTGACCCCGTCTCTCCACGTCGAAATAAAGCCGCGAACGCATCCCATCTGCACCACGGCCTTCCTGCGACTGAATACATTGCAGCTGCATTGACTCAAGGCAAGCAATGATCGGGAACTGGGCCTCATGTAGTAAGTGGCACGACTTGTACCACATGCAACGCGATACACGGAGGGTGATTATTGTGTTTTAAAATATGCGTGCGTGCTATTCGAGACACGTGCATTGCGCATGAACGTGAGTATCCTAAGCGTTCGCACATGGTTACGGAGCTACACGCATGCACGTCCGTGTGCTACTTATTCCGTGACATGCCCTTTGTCAATCCACTGCTGGATGATGGTCCATCCCCACGTTGGTGTCAGCCACAGAGGGTGGGTTGTTGGCTGGGTCATACTTCACCTCGGTGGTCAGAGCAGAGAGGTGGTGAGAGACAGCACGAGCGGTTCAAGAAGTTATCACTCGCCACTGATGATATAGCCGTGGCGGTGCCATTGTTGCTGGCACGTCGTATGTTGGTGAGATGCGCGCGTGAGCAACGTCCTGGACGCACGTAGATCCACGTGACACGTCGCGAACGTAAGGGGACATTGTTTGTCCATTATTTTACCAAAACACGCGTGCATACATGTACACGTGAACCTGCACAAATATGCGCGTGCACCTCTGTATTGGCCCGATAGTATAACTACAACCATGGTAATTCATAGTTTAGCGTATAGTACTTTGTCAATACGAAGGGCTGCTGGATCCATGGCTCACCACGTCGGTGAGCTGCGTCGGTCACGGGGGTGGTTTTGACCATACTTCACCACTCTGGCTCAGTGCGGGTTGACGGGGCTGGTGGTGTCCAGAACCGATCCGGATGGAACTCGCCACTGACGTCCGAGGCGCGGCGGGGATCGAACTCAGCTGAGTGAGTTCGGAGCGACAACTTCGCTGCCCACTGCGTCCACATCTCCGCAAAGCGCCATCGTGTTCTACAAGTGGGGCCTGAAGGCTGGCACGTTGGCACACGAGTAGTGGCGAGTAGTTGCTCATAACTAGCACATTCTGGAAACTATAATGATCGACTTTGAGCCGCCCCCCCCCTTTCAAATAATCTAAGCAGCGGATGTTGATCGCTTCCACTTCTACGCGATAGCCTAAAGAGGTCTGCAGTGCGTCAAGCCGCGCGCGGAACGCTCACACGAACAGCCGTAATTATATAATCGTCGCCGTTGTCAGTGAAGCGAGTAATTCGCCGTGCGTGCAGTGTGACGGTCAAGACGATAGAAAGCGGGCGAAGCCTTCTCCCACGCGACAACCCCCGATACAGAAGGCCGACTGACCCACCACACGCAATCCCACCGTGCCTTGTGCATCTACACGTGCGGGGAGCTGGTGGCGTAGTAGCGTTCAGTGCTGCGCTACGAACCCGGCGACCCGAGTTCGATTCCCGCTCACGGCCACCAACACGCAAGTGACGAATGTCTGAACCGTTCCTGGGCGTCCCCTAGGTCGACTCAGCCTCAAATGAGTGCCTGGTGCGATGTGTAAACATTGCCACTCGGGAGACAAAGGCGGCCGGGCGTGGTGCTGGCCACCCACCCCCTCGTGTGCCGTGCCGGCCTTCATAGGTGCTACTCGCTAACAGCACCTGCCCCTACAATCTGTTAAGGCTATCCAGGGGATCTTTGTCTTCGTAGACCTCACTGTAATAACCCATTTATTAACCGCCTCTTGTCAATCGCATCACCGCGCCGATCATTTGGGGTTGGCGAAAAAGAACCCAGGAATGGTGCGGATACCACGCGCCACTGATGTTAGCCGCGACCGGGACGCGAACTCGGCTGCACCACCGTTCAACCCACGTCACACTCACGCAGATACAAATATTAACAAGGCCAATACAAAGATCACCCTATGACGTTAACAGACGTTTGGGCCAAGTGCTGTTAGCGAGCACCTATGCAGGTCGGCACGGCACACGAGGGGATGGGTGGCCAACACCACGCCCGGCCGCCTTTGTCTCCCCAGTGGTGATGTTTACACACCGCACCGAGTACTCATTTAAGGCTGAGCTGACTTCAGAGAGGCCCATGACCCGTCAGATATTCGCCACTGGCCGTGAATCGAACTCATGTGGCCGGGCTCGTAGCGTAGTGTACTATCACTGCACCACCGCCCCCCAGATTAAACGCAGAAAGACACAAGCACACAAGCCCACGTCGACACAACCACGCATTCGCGTAGACGCAGACACAAGCCCACAGTCACATGCAGACACAAAGCCACGAAGACATCGTCACCACACAGACACGTATCAGACACAAGACACGTGAAGACACCAGCCCATAATACAGGACAGGACACGTGCACAAACCCGAGCAGACGCAGCGGACAGGCATTCACATCGGCACATATAGACATACATATAGACACACATGTAGACACACATATAGACACACATATAGACATATATAGACATATATAGACACGAAACTATCACGTGCACACAAACACAGATACGGACACAAGCTTACACGACACAAGGGCGCAACGCGGTTATGGGATCGCACACATAACACCGAATGGCGTGTGCAGTCAAAGAAACCGTCGTCCGATACAACCCGGAGACTCAATCACGTCGAACCGCACGGCGCGCAGACACATCGCATCTCGTCGCGACTCTGAATCGATGCTGCTGACATGACGCACTCCCAGAGACGGCCGTGGCGCCGATGGGTTGTGTAGGAAGACAACTTGATTCGTTTCGTTTTCATTCGGAGAGAGAATACACACGAAGGAAACGTATCGAGACCAACGTTCTGTTTATACGCAGACTATTGGGGGCGTGCGGTGTCAGCGAGCGGCACCCATCTGATATGAATGCCGTGGCCACGCCGCACCAGGGGGTGGTGTGGCCAGCACCACGCTCGCCCGGCCCTGCTGATGCTGATACCCGGCGGGCCAGCCAGTCGCGTAAGGCCGAGCGAACCTCGAGACCCGCGGCAGTGTACGCACAGAGACGCGTGGAGCAGTGATGAAGGAGGTGGGGGAGCAAGTCCTTACCACCACGAGGTCGCCCCGACTGTCCACAGTTGAACGAGCACAAGTCCCCAACAGGCGAGTCTCAGATGGGGCCCACTCGGAGGCCGACTCATCTTGAATGCCAGCGCTGTGCGGAGAAGCGAGGGGATGATGGGTCGCCAACCCGGTGGTGGTGAGTGAGTGAGTAGCGGTTGTAGTGATCGCTCCGGTCAGGGCACTCTGGTAAAGGGTGAATGCAATTGCACGCGCGGTGTGAGCCGGTGCACGGATGAGTGGCGAAAGTGGTGGAAGAACTATTGTTTTGAAGGGTAGAAGGGTGAATTGTAATGTTTGTTAAAAGATGCGATGGTTGAAATGGTAAGTTTAACAATGAGGACGGTGATGATGATGATGAAATATAACACAGAGGAAAATGTATAAGTACGAAGGGATAAACTACGTTGAACAACGAGATTACGGCGAGATGATAGAATAAGTACTCCTTGCATAAACATACATAAACCTTAGAGTTTAAATAACATAACGATATGCTTTTAACGCACACGAAAAATAATAAGTAAATCTTGCTCAACGGCAGTTTCCAGCTAATTATGAAAACGCACACATGCAGTTACTTTTCCCGCACCATACTAAACAAAAACACCACATTTCACATTACGGCGCACTACAAGAACACGCATCCTACAAACGACTCTTGCAACAACGTTGCCACTGTAATAATGTCCCACTGCGTTCAGGCTGGAGTCACAGACTTACACGCGAACCACTCTAAACTGTACAAGAGCCTTCACAAACAAAAAACGCACAGACGCATCTCGTTAAATATGAGCAGCGTAAGAACCCTAAACAATGCTCGCTGCGCAGTAGGCGAAGTGGTCGTATTCCCAAATCGTCTCGTGCCTCGACTCCTACTTCCAAACGAACTTCTTAAAAAAATGCTGATTGGCGTCACGAACTCATCACACTCCCTCTCTCTGTCGAGAAAGTGAGCGAGAGAGATGACGGCTGGTGGAGAGAAAAGGGAGAGCGTGCATGAAGGGAGCGAGAGAAGAGAGAGAGATAAGTGAATGAGTGAGTGACCCGTGGCCTGGATAACACGCGCGTGTGCTCATGGCTGTCCAGTAGCGCGGTTATAAGTAGTCCCACGGGCGGCACGCTATTGGTTGGGTCGCCAAGGCTCAGAAGTTTATTTAATTTTTTAAGGCAACTTTATCGTGTCGTACGTACACCGCGCGTAATTGCACAGCGGGTCTATGAGCATCACATGCGAGTCATCAGCGGTGTGCGGTGTCCGCGGGCTACGGAGCGCGCCTTGCAAAAGGGGGGGTGGGGGGCGGGGTGCCCGGGTAGGTGGATCGCGCAGAGATGGGTGACGAGTGGCTGTGTGTTTGTTGCAGGTGACTTCACCCGCGAACCGTGCCTACGTCCCGAGCGCTTTGTTTGACCAGGCGGCACCACACTGGTTAGTGTGGGTTCGGTGAAGGAGGTTTCAAGGATGAGTTTGACATACAGTCTATATATATATACTGTATATGTACTGCACGGGGAGTCTACAGCGCGACGTGCCGATCGCTGCGTCACCGCTCCTTGCCTATCGCAGTCGCCCAGTGCAACTTTGACAGTCAATCGAATCTTCACACAGCCGAAGACGAGTGAATTCTATTCCCCGTGGGGGTGGACCAACTTGGCTGCAGGAAATGTCTCGCGGATTGAACGGTTCCCGCCGTAGTAACGTGGAATTGTAACACCCACTGGCCCAAGGACAAACAAGGGACAAGCGATGGACCCCGCATAACTCGGTTCGTTTGACCCGGGGGTCAGCCTCGACTGAACACTGACCACACCTACGACGCTCCTACGCATTATCTGCCAAGCCTTCAAGCTCAAAGTCAATGTCAAGAAGGCATTACTGCCAGCGCCGTGAATACCACTGCACCTCGCCATCGCTTCCTTCCGTCTGCTAGATCCCATCGCTTTTGCAACGTCGACACTCGACCTCCGAGGTCTGTTCTTCCGGTCTCATCATCATCGTCACCACCACCACCACCGCCACCACCACCACCACCACCGCCACCACCGCCACCACCACCACCACCACCGCCACCACCGCCACCACCACCGTCTGCCTGTAAGTCGACCTCTGAGTGCCACTCCACTGTCCGTCCCGGTAACTTGGCGTCCTCCACGCGGCACATTACAACCTCCTCTCACCAACTGCAGCTGCACTTTCCTGTTCACAACCTACAATGCCTTCACTTTCTCACCGAGAATTTTCGTTCGGGGCCACTAGAATGGTAGGTGACTCGTGGGCCAGCCACAGCCGTAGCGAAAGGTAGACTTGACGTGGTGTGCCGGGTGAGGGGAACACTGTCCGGGTTTTCCGCACCGGGTGATGATCACGCCCCGTCTGTAGACACACAGCGAGCGATTATACGCAGGGAGTGCAGCACCTCCGATAAGCACCGTCGGCTATGTACGGTGTGAACGAAGTTATACACATGCATGCAACATCCATATTGCTATCCTGCACTGAGCTGGAACATCTATGCGTGGTGAATTATTGGTGAACAGCATGGCCGTGGGGAAGCCGTGTGCGATACGGGTTCAATGTTGTTTAGCAATGCGTACAGAGCAATTGAAAATTTGTTTAAATGCACAGTGAAGATTTAATCTTAATCGGCGACTAATTTAAAGTCATACATCAATTCACCCTATCGGTAATGACGATTGTTTCGACCATACTTCACCGCGTTGGTCAGTGCGGGCTTGTGAAAGGGCGAGAGGAGACACGGGGGCCTGTTCATGCATCACGTGCTGCTAATGAGAGCCGTGGCAGGGGATCAATAGCAGAGGGCCAGGTTCAGAGTGTAATGCGCTAACCGCTGCGCCACCGCTCCCCCCGCCCCCCGCGAGAGCTCATTGCTATGCAACAATAACAAATTGTATGATTTCAAGGAAAAATAAATACCCTAATACAAATATACGTGTATATAATATTCATCTTGGCTTTGAGCTGCGAGTGATAGCACAGCTCATTAAAAGGAGCGTAGAACATAGTGAAGACGAATTAACTAAATCATAAATGATAATTGGTTCTTTACCCTTCTATCTGGCAACAAAACTGACACCTTTTTTTGTTGCCAGATAGAAGGGTAAAGAACCAATTATCATATTTTTACTGGCAAATGAGGTCCCCATAGTGTAAATCATAAATGTTTTGTTATGGGGGTCACCTGGAACGCGCCCGATCCTGTGAGATTTCTGAAGCTCAGCAGGCATGTGAGCTTGGTTTGGACTTGGATGGACTCCGACGTATCCCGGAGACTCGCCGAGTTCCGGCCCTGCCCGAAGATGGTCGTGCGGCGATGGATTCTCGAGTCTATCTGTGTGGAACTGTGAGTGTGTTTACCCTCCCATAGAATGCGTAGTAGCCCCCCCCCCCCACCCCGGGCACTCGATCTGTTTTCCTGCCACGTGCAACCCGCTCACGAATGACCAAACATTCCGACGATGACCGTGGCAAGAAACACAAGTGGGACCATGGCCAATGGTCGAGACTGACCAACGGAATGGCAGTCGAAGGAGGGAGCACGCCCGACTGATGTACAGCCCCCACGCAGATGAAATGACACCAGATCAGCTCATGCGCAGGAGCTCGACGAACGCCGGTTCGATTCAATGTCCCGGCGCTTCTGTCCACCAATGTGTCCATCCTAGTTGATCGCGTGCGGTCGTGTAAAAGTGTGAGTTCTCTCACCTCTTTGTATACGTCTGGCCAGCGTAGAAGAGTAGGCCAATTACCCTCTAGAGGTGCTTTCTAGAGCTCAACCCCACCCCACCACCACCACCGCGTTTCGTGTGGAGGCACCGACCGCCGGCAGTGGTGTGAGCGAGCCATTGCAAGGCTGCCCCTTTGCCTCTTGCACGTCGCCCGTGTCAGAGGCAAGGGCAACCGATGCCCTCTTGTGGAGGAAATGCGAAAGCGCAGCGATGCTTTGACGCGCACGTTTTTTTTTTAAAAGCCAATAATGATTTGGGGCTCACGACAATTGGCCAACTCCGTGTGCCTATTGAGTCACGTGCTGCGTTTGACACCGTGGCTAATTTAACCTGCGGTGACTCCCTTGGCGAGGCCGATGGGGTTTTGGTTTTCTTCATCAGACACAGCCACTAAAGTGTGACGGAGTGTGGTGGGAGGCGTTGGTGGCTACGCTGCTGCTGCGGCACGTGGCTGCTGCTGCTGCTGCTGCTGCTGTGGCACGTGGCTGCTGCTGCTGCTGCTGCTGCGGCACGTGGCTGCTGCTGCTGCTGCTGCGGCACGTGCACGTGGCTGCTGCTGCTGCTGCGGCACGTGGCTGCTGCTGCTGCTGCTGCGGCACGTGGCTGCTGCTGCTGCTGCACGTGGCTGCTGCTGCTGCTGCGGCACGTGGCTGCTGCTGCTGCTGCTGCACGTGGCTGCTGCTGCTGCTGCGGCACGTGGCTGCTGCTGCTGCTGCTGCACGTGGCTGCCTGCAGTAGCCCAGCACCGTGGAGGCAGCAGCGAGGGTTGGTGGATCGCACCACTCCCCGTGGGGTCGAGCTGCTGCTGCTGCAGCTGCTGCTGATGCTGCTGCTGCAGCTGCTGCTGCTGCAGCTGCTGCTGCAGATGCTGCTGCTGCTGCAGCTGCTGCTGCTGCTGCAGCTGCTGCGTGCTGCTGCTGCTATACCCCTGGCTGGCCAAGGGAATGCGGTACAGGAAAAAATGTGGATCCCACCTGTTTCATTTGTACGGAATAGAGTGTTGCTCCCTCGCGCGCGTGGAGTTTCTCCTCGGTGCTCCGGTTTCCTTCCACCACATGCATGCACAAAGCTCATTAATTATCCGAAAAACACCTCGCGTGGGAACCATACACGAGGGAGACGTAGATGTACAGGACAACAATGGATCTTGTCGCACTGTTCTGCCGGTGTGCCCACCGCCACCACCACCACCACCACCGTGCCCGTGTCTGCGAGCCCCCCTGGAGGGCGGCAGTGACGCGGTTAGCGAGCCGCACTACGAGCCCGGTGACCCGAGTTCGATTCCCGCCCACGGCCAACACCCGGGGAGGTTATCTAGACCGGTCCTGGGCCTCCCCTAGGTCGGTTCAGCACCAAATTAGTACGTAGTGCGGTGCGTAAACATCGCCACTTGGGAGACAAAGTCGGCAGTGCGAGGCACTGGTCACCTACCCCCTCGTGTGCCGTGCAGGCCCTCATAAGTGTTCGCTAACAGCACTTTCCCCAACAGTTTGTTAAGGCTATACGGGGGACCTTTATTGTATCCCTGTATATGTGGCTATGTGGTGTTCCGTGTACGTGCCTGTGTGTAATTGTTAGCAGCACACTGGCCTTGCAATCCAGAGGTCGCCAGCTCGATATGATCTCCTGGCGCGGCAGTTGAACCGATTGGCAACATCCCTTTAATCCCCACGTGCCACCGGTCCACCCAGCTGTATAATTGGGTTGACCACGGTCAAGTCGTGTGGTGGGGTAGAGCGTGGGTCCGCCTACCCCCGTCAAAGACGTCTGGCCATCGTGGAAGAGTACGGGAAATGCCACCTACAGGGGTCTCTCTCACAGCGGCCTCTAGCAGAGTGACCTTCGAGAAGACGCAGCACGTTGGGAGGAGATACCACACCGACTCAAGCCAAATGAGTGCGATGATTGGGCAGAAGACATCTGGGGTTGACTGGTCGGTTGATGATCGTCGGTACTTGACGAAACAAATCGGACAGCGCGAGCCGAGAGAGGAGGAACGACCACCGCGGAGACGGAGCGATGGAATTATAATCGTGCAACGGATGGCTGACGTCAAAGAGGATCGTGATGTCGGCGGCTTGTAGTGCGCCTTCATTCAGCGGTGGATAGATCCTGGCTGACGTGGATTACCCAAATGCGTCTCCGCTGGGCACAATGATCCAGGGGGTGACAGTGCAGCGGCGTTGTTCGTCTCACATTCGTGGCTCACATGAACAGTGCTCGTGTAAGCCAACATCATTGGCGTGCTGCACCCATAATGTCCCCTCAAGGGCCATAAGATCTGTGGATGCAGATCTTCTTTCTGTA